AGAACATGGAATTAAACATCAAAAGTCCATCCGATACACCCGACAACAGAACGGGGTTGCAGAAAGGAAGAATAGGGCGTTCATGGAATTGGCAAGAAACATGTTAAAGTTTAAATTCTTACCGGACAGATTCTGGGCTGAAGCTGTGGTGTGTGCCATATACGTTTTAAATATAGCAATCAGAAGTCTATAAGGAATCACTCCTCAACATGTGGAGTGGGTACAAGCCAACCATAACCCATCTAAGAGTGTGGAGTGGGTACAAGCCAACCGTAGCCTATCTAAGAGTGTTCAGTTGTATAGCATACTTTCGCATTCCTGTTTCAACCGCGGAAAGCTAGATGATAGATCTGAAAAATGCATTTTTATCGGGTATAGCGAAGTTTCTAAGGCATACAAGTTGTACAACGGAATCACAAGCAAAGTGATTATAAACACGGATGTGTTGTTCATGGAAGATAAAGCATGGGAGTGGACATTGGAAGCAGATAAGACAAAGGTTACCGCTTTTGAAGAAGAATCACAAGACAATGCCAATATGGATTCTGATCAGGTACATGATCCTATTTCCACACTTAATCAATCACCACCATCCAGTTCTATTGCATCATCATCATTAACATCATCTCCACTTACCTCACCCGAGTCAACACCACTTAAGATGAAGAGTTTGATGAATGTCTATGCAAGATCACAACAAATTTTAGACAGTGAACTGGTGGATTTCGTATTATTCGCCGATGCAGACCCAACCCAGTAGATTTTGAAATAGCAGTTAAGAGTGATAAATGGAGAAAAGCAATGGATTCAGAGATTGAATCCATTTTAAAGAATGACACATGGGACTTGGGGCCGATTTACCACAAGGACACAAGTCTATAGGCGTGAAATGGGTCTGTAGGACCAAACTAAATGAAAATGGTGACATCGAGAAGCATAAAGCATGTTTGGTCGTAAAAGGCTACAAGCAGAAGTTTGGGATTGATTATAATGAAGTGTTTGCCCCAGTGATACGTCTTGAGACTATACGTTTGGTTGTGTCTTTCGCTGCTCAAAGAAATTGGAGAATACACCAGATGGACGTTAAATCGACGTTTATTAACGGCTATCTAAATGAAGAAGTCTACATAGATCAACCTCCTGGATATATCAAAGAGCACGAGACGAATAAGGTATGTAAATTAAAGAAAGCATTATATGGTCTGTGCTTGGTATAGCCGTATAGATGGTTATTTTGAAAAGAATGGGTTCAAGAAGCAAAGAGTCGTAGCTCTATCCTCAGCAGAGGCAGAGTATATGAGTGTATCTTTGGTAGGATGTCAAGCCATTTGGATGAGAGGTATATCTGAAGAACTAAAACTATTACATATCAAGAATAAATTAAATCATTGATTTAATTTATTCTTTCCATAACTGTTATAGTAATCATTGCCTTGTAAAATGTAGCTGTAAATGTTTACCTAATTTAGCTCCTAATTAGTCTCCTATCCATGTATACATCCTCGCTATATATAGCCCTTTTGTAAATTGATTTTATACACTGAAATACAACACAGAAATCTCAATACCTTTCATGGTATCAAAGCTGCAATTGCTCTAAAGAGCTGATCCTCCTTCTTATTCTTTCTTACCCCTACGCTTCCAATGGCATCAAAAACCACAATCCAGATTACTGCTGCAACTCATTTCCCAATCAGACTCACCGCCAACAATTTTCCTGTCTGGCGTCGTCAAGTTGAATCAACCCTAATAGGGCTTGAGCTCGATGCGTTCATCTTTGGCGATAAACAGCCTCCACAATTTCTGGATGACAAAGACGGTCCCAAACTGAATCCAGAGTATCTGCCTTGGTACCGCCAAGATCAGATAATATTCAGTGTTATTCTCGGTTGCTGCTCAGACTACATTCAACCTCTAATTTCGTCAGCTACTACTTCACGAGAGGGCTGGGAAAGACTCAATGCCAGTTTCGCTAGTGGGTCCAGATCTCGTGTCATCTCTCTCAAGTCCAAACTTGTCAAAAATCCCAAAGGTTCTCGTTCAATAGCCGAATATCTTCAGGATATGCGAGCCATTGCTGATGAATTAGCGCTTGCACAAAGCCCTGTTACAGAAGAAGATTTACTGGTTCATATCTTATCACAACTTGGTGATGAATATAGTACTATCGTTGCTGCGATCAAAGTACGTGAATCACCACTGTCTTACTCAGAGTTATTTGACAAATTGACTGATTTTGAGCGAGCTCTTAAAGAACAAACTGCAGCCCCTGAACCTGTGCTAACCACGGCTAATTATACTGCAAGACAGTTCAATCGACAACCTGGACGATCGGATAATTTCAACCAGCAATGTGGCACCAACAACCGTTTCTCTAATCAACAACGTACTTCAACCAATCGCACTCAATGGTCGTCTTCAACTTCTAGAGGAAATCGCCAAAACAGGTCCAATCCCTATTGCCAGTTCTGTCACATTCCAGGTCATATGACTCGTGACTGTCGCAAGCTATCTCGTTTTTTACGAGACAACAATGTCACTGCCAATACCTCTCAGTCGAATGCTCCAGTGGCTAATATAACCACAACTGGTTCACCTTCTGCTTCACCAACCTGGCTATTTGACAGTGGTGCCTTCAACCACGTCACTGGTGATCGTTCCACACTTCAAAATGTCTCAGACTATGGCGGACCAGATGAAATTATACTTGGGAACGGTAATAGTTTAAAATTTTCACATGTTGGCTCTAAACATATTAACACATCACTTAAGACTCTACACTTACCTCATGTGTTATGTGTTCCATACTTGCAAAGGAACCTTATTTTTGTGGCTAAATTATGCAAGACTAACCGGGTTTCTGTTGAATTTTTTCCATCTTATTTTTTTGTGAAGGATCTTCGCACGGGGGCGTGTCTCATGCAGGGGGAGAACTATGAAGATGTGTACTATGCCAAGCTACCTTCTAGGCTACCATCCATCTCTCAACTAAACGTTACCACCAGAATTTCACCACTTCAATGGCATCATGCCTTTGGTCATCCATCCACAAAAGTTTTCAAGTCGCTTCTTTCAAAATTAGGCCTTAGTTCCAAGCTTTCTGATTTGCATTGCCCATCTTGTTCAATTAGTAAGAGTCATAAATTGCCTTTTGGCTTTAACTCATTTGTTGCTACTAAACCATTACAATTGATATATTCTGATGTGTGGGGTCCTGTCCAAAGTTCCATTGATCATTTTAATTATTATGTAATCTTTGTGGACTACTTTTCAAAATATGTGTGGCTCTACCCAATGAAAAAGAAATCTAATGTTGGCACTTTGTTTCCTCAGTTCAAACTTCTGGTTGAAATTTTTTTCCAAACACCACTTGTATCTATCTTCATTGATAATGGTGGAGAATACATTGGTCTTCTACCTTTCCTCAAACAACATGGTATTTCCCATTACACCACTCCACCTCATACACCTGAGCAAAATGGTATTGCTGAAAGGCGCCATCGACACATAGTTGAAACATGTCTAGCTCTCCTACACCATGCCAAACTTCCCTTAACCTTTTGGACTCATGCCTTTCAAACGGAAGTTTATTTAATCAATAGGCTTCCTACACCCATTTTCAACAATCAAACTTCTTACAACATCTCTTCAGTCAATCCCCTAACTACACCAAGCTTAAACCTTTTGGTTGCTTGTGCTATCCATGGCTACGACCCTACACCACTTCCAAACTCCAGCCCAGTTCTACTCCATGTCTTTTCCTTGGGTATTCTACTTCCAAATCAGCCTATAAGTGTTATGATCCCGTCACCATCGCTTGTACCACTCCCGCCATGTTCAGTTTGTTGAGAGTCAATTTCCTTCCAAAATCGACTGTTATAGTAATCATTGCCTTCAAGAATAAATTAACTCATTGATTTAATTTATTCTTTCCATAACTGTTATAGTAATCATTGCCTTGTAAAATGTAGCTGTAAATATTTACCTAATTTAGCTCCTAATTAGTCTCCTATCCATGTATACATCCTCGCTATATATAGCCCCTTTGTAAATTGATTTTATACACTGAAATACAACACAGAAATCTCAATACCTTTCAAAAACATCCTCAGTTTGAACCCACAGGGATACAATGTGATAACAAGTCAGCAATGGCACTTACCAAGAATCCTGTATACCATGGAAAGAGTAAGCACATAAGGATCAAATATCACTTTATTCGTGAATTAGTAAAGTGTGGAGATGTTGAAGTTATTTTCTACAGAACAAGTGATCAAGTGGCAGATGTGCTCACCAAAGCATTAAAGTCTGCTGATTTCTTGAAGATGAAGGATAGACTTGGAGTTATGCAAGTCTAGATTAAGGGGGAATGTTAAGATATTAACTTCCAGACCCGTGTTGTGGTTACTATATATGACAGTAGGAGTAAGTTATTTTTGGTTGTGTCAGTTCAATCATAATATGTGAAGCGTTGTGTTGGTTGAACTTATATATATATATATATATATATATATATGTTTGTAAAGTCTGTTGTATCAGATTGTTGGTAAATGAAAGATTGTTAGTTTCTTAGTGAAAACATCTTTCAATATTTAGTGTTTTTTACAACAGTCACCAGTTCAATGTGTTGGAGGCATGCAGAAGATTCAAGGAGCTGTTCAGCCTACTTCGGGGTTATGCCGGCTTCTATGGTTTCATCCACAGATTACTAGAACATATATGCTTTGATGGTCTGTGTTTCAGCCATCGTAAGATCTTGAAAACGGCTCATTCTGCAGAGCTCAAAATGATCATGATTCTGCTGATATCTTATCAACATCTAGTAACAATTACATTGGATCAAAATCAATGTTACCAATATCTAAAAAACATACATACTAATAGCACTCACAATGGAGCTTGTTGGAGAGGTTTTTGGCCACATAATTTAACATATAATTTAAAAAAGAAAACTACGTGTATACAATTTCTTAAGAGAATAGAAAAAAGACGAATTAGGATCAATGTAGAAAAGGTGATTTAAAATATGCTGGATTTGCGGTTGACGATAATAACATTTGGGACGCTCCTTCGGCTCTTAGAATAGGCAAAATGATACCTACTGCATCCTGCCATCCGAAACACAAAGATCCGTTATATCATCCGCTGCCATTTAGTGACGTTAAAAAACTAAACTAGTTGCAAATTAGCATCACCACTTTTTTGACAACAAATCATGATGCCAATGGTGTTGCGTACGAGGATGGTAATTAGCATTTAGCAACACGTAGTGGTGTCGGATTGTGGTGTAGATGTATATATAAATACGTACCAAGATCAATCTAGCACCTAGCCAAGTGCGTCGTGGTGAAGGATATGGAAGTAACAAGCGGCCAACACCAAAGATGGCGACTGAAAAGAAATGAAGCACCAAGCTTGATGGCTTCGGGTTTAGACCGGATAATAGCGCAATGGGTCCACTTGAGCACATGCCACCGAGGCTCAAGTAGTCAAAACATGCTTGCCGCAGTTCTGTCCTTGCTTGATCAGGTGATGCCGAAAACACTTTGTACAATGCTCCAGCCAATGTGTTGATTGTAGATGCGACTGGCTGAAAACAAGATACAACTTCAGTTTCCTGATCTAGTACAATTAAGTTGACTTTATAGGACACACAATTATTTGGTCCTATGAATTTAATTAACCAGCCTATGAAGACACTTAGACATAATATGACGTCCTATAAAACCGATTTTTGTTGTAATCTGATGGCATTTTAAGAGACAATACATCTATATGTATGTATGTATGTATGTATGACGACCTTGCGTAAGGTGTAAAAGGAGTCAAGATACTTGCAGAGGGCGATTGAGTCGTTTAAATTATCAAGTGGTCGGAGGAGATCACGAACAACCACAACATCAGATAAAGCGACTGTCATTCCTCCTCCTGTCAAAGGATGTCGCATGTTGAATGAATCCCCGAGCAGGATTGCACCCGGGGTGGGTTGTGGAGCAGCCGGCATGCTTCTATTAGCCATTGTTTTTATCTTTCCTTCGTCCACCGCAGCAATGAAGCCACCTTGCAGTTCCGGAGGGATCTAAAAGTACACGAAAAAGTCATGACAAAATTGATGACAGCAAAAAGCATTGGTAAACAACACTGCGAATATTTGTCTAATAAATCTAGGTTTCGTTGATATATATATACATATCAATGAATCAGATTTGGATCATCAGAAAACCACTTTCCAAAATTAGTATTTCGAACCTATAAATGCCTTGGGATCCATGAAATCTACATTGAGAGAATCCAGATGGCCGATGACATTAAAATCACCAACATCTTGCTTAGCAAATGTGTGCAATGGGCCTAAAACTACTAATCAAAGATCAAAAGGGAATATTTTTGCAAGAAATCATACCTGAGGAGCTACCTTAGTCTTCAAATAAAGGGCCATTTCACCATTGCCAACAGAAGGGATCTTCTTCCCTGGGATATCAACTAAACACCTGATCTCGGTACTGCTGATACGATAGCACAAGATTGGTGAAGGGTCTGCCAAGATAACATGTCCATGATTCGGATATGGGGCCTCACAGTTCTTCAAAAGTAATGCAACAAATGAAGATGGGATCTCTACCTGCAGATAATCTGATCATGAGGCTTCATTCTGAATGCATACACTATGTCACTGCAACAATATCTGGTTTTTAAGTGTCCTAATAAACCGCTTACTATGAGGTAAGTTTATAGACCTTACCATTGTAGATCATATATAAACGTTTTACAATAAGTTAATAGAACGGTCGTGCACCTCCAGAATAGTTTTTTAAGCCGATTTTGAAATACAACATCATATTAATATTTTTATATGAAATTATTTGAAAATTTGTTACAAAGAATGACCGTCTTGTAAGAAACTAATGGAACACTTTATTTCAAAATTGTCGTATAAAACTTATTACGATGCCCAAATACATCCTAACATCATATGGTGACACAAAATTGTTTGATCCTGAAAACTATAAGTCCTATAAAACACACCTTTATATAGAACACACAATTGTTTGATTACATGAACTTAAGTCCTATAAAACAGTCTATTACGATATGTAAGCATCTTTGACATCTTATAAAGCCGATTTCGTTGTAGCTAGTGTGTGAATATCTTGGATGATAGTTATGCTTACCTCAGGTTTGCACAGACCACGTCTCAGATTCGAAAAACAGCCATCACAGACGATAGTAAGCGGTGCATTGGCCGTGATATCTTGGCCTGCTTTGGTTTTGTAGCGGACGCCTTTGACAGCTCCTTTCTCTTCGATAAGAGATGTCACTGTCCCTTGTTCAAGCCTCACGCTGAAAGTGCGTACATGAATAGTTAAAGAACTGAATATCAAAAATGACTTTGGAATTGAAGATAAAAGCGATTAATTACTTTGGGACTGTTGCAGCCTTCTCTCGCATTCGTTGAACGAATCTGCCATTGTGAAAACTCCTGCCTGAAACATCTCTTGTGAACTTCTCCAATGGGTAAGCCAGTCTAGTGCTTTTATCCTCCTTGAACAAAGCATAGCCAAACACCTTTTGAGCATCGATGTTTTCTACACAATCTGTAGCAAAATAAAAATAAAAACGCAACGTTTGAACTCGTAGAACACTGTTTGGCACAAAAATGCATTTCTTTTGGTATCAGTGCTCTTCAAATGGTTCTTTAACGGGTATTTTTGTGCTTCTCCTATTTGCTGTTTAAGAGAGATGGACAGGAAAAAGATGGCTAGAATACATTTTTATAGGACGTCAAATATGTCGAAATATTCTAATAGATATTGTTTTATAGGACTTAAGTTTCTAGGACCGAACAATGGTGTGTCCTATGTAAAAGTGTCACAAAAAGTTGATATGATGCTTTTGGGGGTTTCAACATTTTTTTAGAACACTTTCAAAATAAAATGTTCTATGAGTTTTTTTATATAAGAGAGTTTTCAAATAATGTCGAATAAAAAAGATTAATGGAAATATTTATTTAAAAAAATATCTTAAGAACTTATTAGGACGCTTTTGGGTGTCGTATCAACTTATTGTAATACATTTAAATAGAACGCACAATTGTTTGATCCTATAAAACAGTCTCTATTATGCCATTTATACATATTTGATATCCTATAAAACAGATTTTCTTATGGTGCTATATTGACATGAATCTTCTGTTCATGCCTCACCATCGGTAATGGTGGTAACTTACATACCTTCTAAGTCCAAGTCGATCAATTTCATGTAGCCACCAGGTTGGAGCAATTCTCCGACAATTCTATCTTGCAATCCCAGGTCTCTTTCTATGACAAGAATTCGTCGGCCATCCTATATATATAAACGGTAGAACCAAAGGAATTAGTTGGAGTCTCTAGTGATCGTCTGTTTTCCTTTGTTTCTCATTTTCATCATTCGGGTTCAATCCTCATTTAGCATGAATAAGGAACCAGAAAAGATATATAGGAATTGATGATGAAAACTAATGAATCCTAATTCTAGAGAAAGAAAGGAAGCATACCTTGCCAAGACTATAGGCAAGGGCTGCACCAGCTACACCAGCACCAACGATTATTACCTCTGGGGATCCATCGTTCTGCGGCTGAATCCTAACCAACTCATTGACCTGTTTATGCAAATCCAAATTATCATCAGCTGGTTTGCTCTTTTTCACACCCAAGAAATAGATCAGAGCAAAACCTAACCAAGTAGCTATGATCCCTCCTAATATATACTGTTGTAATATCTTCAACTCCATTTTGAAGAAAACTTAACCACTGTGAATCTGAAAGAGTTGTCAACAATATATATACAGAAAAGAACAGCAAGCATTATAGCACAGAAAAACATTGGTGTTGACTTGGTGATGGATTAGTGGTCAAGTGAAAATAAGAACCTAATATTCTCTTTTTTAATCAGCTAGCCTACAATTTGCTTTCAAGTCCAAAAGCTAAATGTTAAACTACATTGACAAGATCAAGGATTGATTGTCCTCATTGTTTGGAACAAATTGAAGGATTTTGCCCACTGCTTTTAAACAAGAAATAGTGCACACAGTTTTGCACAAAGGCCCTTGGATTACTTGGATTAATGATAGGCATTTTATTTAGGTTTTTCCTCATATTTCGTCGAATTATAACGTTCGGATGAATATTGAAATAAAGAATCCCTGTTAAATGCTCGGTATGTTGAGGATTGAAGTAGCATTTTGTCCTACCAGTCGTGAGGTTCAATCTTTACCACTTCTTTTTTTTCCGTCAAGACAAGTATATGCATATATGGGGTTTGGGCACCCTCCTTCTTTGAAAATGTCGTATTAGCTATTTTCTTTGAAAATGTCGTATTATCTTTCTTTCAAAATGTCGTTGAGCCACTACAACAAAATTGATTTTATATGATATGATGCCTAAAATGTCTAAGCGTCCTAATAAAATATTTTATAGGACTTAAGTTTATAGGACTAAACCAAAAAATGTCCTATCTAAAAGTGTTACAATAAGTTTATAGGACGCTTTCCGATGTTCTTACAAGTTTAATCTAAGACGCTTTTAAAGTAAAATGTCGTATTAGCTATTTTATACGACACTATTTGAAAAAAATGTGCTATAAATACAAGTATCCTATAAAAAGGTAGGTTTATAAGACACTTCTCAAAATGTCCTATAAAATAGCTATTATGACACTTTCTTTTAAAAGCGTTCTCCAAAACTTGTTAAAACGTCTTATAAACTTATTGTAACGCTTTTAGATATGACGCTTTACAACTTTGTCCTATAAAATTTAAGTAGTATAAAATATTCTATTATGACACTTAGACATTCTAGACATCGTATAAAACCAATTTTGTTGTAGTGAATGAGACAAAAAATGGCCTCTCACATTGATGTCCTTGGAGATGCATGAATTTTGTTCGTGGCCGATTGGGGTTGCCCGTTAATTAATCAACTTGGCCAAATCTAGCCTATACAAGATTAATCTACTTAAATGTTTTAGTTGAAGTAGATTCACATATGGTTTCGTTGAACCCTAATCAACTTTTATCACTTGATGTTTTGGAATGCTTAAAACAAAATTTACCCGTTTTCAACAGTTAGAATTATGATTATTGTGAAAGAGATATATTGTATATTCTTATGAATATAGCTAAGGAAAATGACTTGTGGTTTTTCGTTTTGCTAAATAGTTAAGGATAACGTTATCCTGTTCAGAAGTTACGCTACAAAAAATCACCTCTATAGCGACGACTGGCCCTCACCTCTTAACTTAAGCGTCTCATATGATGGAACTAGGTTTTTTCATCGTCCAACACGATCAATACTTGCAATGGTGCGACGATTCCAGCAAAATCAATGTAGGCTGTGGTAGATTGTACGAATCAGAGTTCAAAAATCTTCACCTCTCCGTAAGTTTAGAATTTTTGTACGATAGAGTACAAACTCTCTTGTTCCATATAGTACGTAGTCTGTTTGATGATATATTATGTGGAATCCAATTGTTGAGCCAAGGTTGTGTGTTCTTATGAAAGGAAAATCATATAACTCAGGAATCAGGGGTCCTATTGATAAGTGTGTATACGTATATAAATTCTCGTCTTTGTGAAGCGCATTCTGGGATTCATGATTTATTTATTTATTTTGACGGAAGGGGGTCGGTGTTGATCTCTTTCGCCTTTATGATTCGGTCATCGAGCAAATACAGTCATCTGTCCGCATTTCAGGGTCCCAAATCTTCTGTCGTTGCTATAGGAAGCTACAGCTACGGATGAACAGCGACGATAGTTGTCGCAAATAGACTTATCACGACGAAATGTTGATCTTTAGCGATGACTTTTATCGTCGCAATAATAGGTTAGATTTGCTGTAGTGTTAAAACCTATAAGTCATACATTGTTAGCTATCAACAATGCTTCAGGCACTCCCTCTTCAAGAAAAGCCCAGAAACGTAAATAAAAACATATCTGAAACGATGGTAATTATGATTTTGTTCCGAGTCATTAAAATTAGAGGATTCTATCGAGTTGCAAAGCTGAAATACAGTAAAAGTTCCTACACCTTATGGTTGGATTAAAAAAAGGAATGGAAATGGAAATCAATTAAACTTTTTGAAAACCTGTTTCACTGCATGCAATATGTCCTTCAAAGAAAAAGAAAAAACAACTTAAGGCACACACATGCAAAAGCGTATAGAAACTGAATTACTATAGTGTATTGCAGACAATGGATGCTGATGAGGAAGCTGAAGATGAAGTGGTGAGCTTGGATAAGGTGGCGTCGTTACTCGAACCTGAACACATGGTATAGTCTCTCCCAAAACCTGTGAGTTCAAAGGATGGCGAAGACCAAAATGCTGACATTGTGATGGGTGTCGCTGCAAAAGTTGCAACTGGTACTGTTTTTGGGAGGTTGGGAACTGGTGCTTCAAAGTTAAGAACTTGAATTGCTTGCTTTATAGTAGGCCGTATGTTGGGATCAGGGTGAGCACACCAAAGTCCAACAGTGATCAAACGTTCCATCTCTGCCTCATCAAAATCTGCACCAAGTTTCGAATCAGCTGCTTGACTAAGCTTTCCTTTTCCATAGAGGTCCCAAACATGGTCAACCAATCTGATATGACCATCTTCAGCCGTGGGGCCAATGGGTTTCTTACCAGTCACTATCTCAAGAGCCACAACCCCAAAACTATAAACATCTGAAACCTTTCCAGCCTTGCCTGTCAGGACACATTCAGGAGCCACGTAGCCCATTGTACCTGCCAATATTGTGGTCTGCGATCCTTTTCCGTGGTCAACAAGCCTAGCTAAACCAAAATCCCCAAGCTTAGCATTGAAATTGGAGTCAAGCATAACATTGCTTGATTTGATATCTCTATGCAAAACGCATTGTTCCCATTCCTCGTGGAGATATAGTAATGCTGAGGCCAAACCTCGAGCAACATTATACCTCATTGCCCAAGTTAAGAAGCAACTTCCCTTGAAGAGATGAGAATCCAAGCTACCATTCAACATGAACTCATAAACAAGTAGGAGTTCTTTACCTTCATGGCACCAACCGATGAGCTGCACCAAGTTCCTGTGTCTCAGTCGGCTAATGGTCTTCACTTCAGCTGCATACTCCCTTATTCCTTGTTTGGATCCACTAGATATCTTCTTGACAGCCACATAGGAATTCGTTCTTCTCAAGAAACCTTTATAAACCCCACCAAACCCCCCTTGTCCTATCTTCTCTCCCTCTGAAAAGTTCTTTGTTGCCAGGGCCAGTACTTTGTATGAGAACTTTTTTGGTCCAGTCTCAATCTCAAATTCCTGTGTAGAACCAAGCTCGTCTTCATCTTTCTTTCTAAATGCAGCCTTTCTTTTCTTCAAGGAACCTAACATGAAAAACCAACTAATTACAGCACATACTGTGAGACCTAGACCCAGACAAACACCCAGCACAACCTTCTGTCGTACTGCATGACCAGGTGCAGTAATAGTTTCTCTGACTGATGGACCAGGCGTAGGACCATTTGCATTGATCTGTGAACCAATGATCTTTTCCTCATTTGATAACCTTGATTCAAAATCCCAAGAATGAAGAGTGTGAATCTCAAAAAAATCACCAGTTGAGGCTGAGAAACCAATACAAACACGTTCTGGTAGATAATTTCTCAAATCAACTTCTGTGCTAAGTCTTTGATTGAAAACAAATCCACCCTGATCAAAACCAGTAAAGGCAACACTTAGTCTTTTTGCACTAGAGTTGTAACTTACCCTTGCTCCATTCATTTTCCCAGAAGAAACATCATTCAACCATGACACGTTTGTAACTGATACCATGGAATTGATGTTGATGCCTACATGATCACCAACCGGGTCCCAATCATTTTTATACGTATCAAACTCCACTGCTATGAATGGATTCGACGTCGAGTTGAGTACCTGGTCCCCACTTACAAGGCCGATGCCGCCACCTTCTTGTTTCTGAGGAGTTTGAAACCCTTCCGGTGCAAGAAAGAATGCTATTCCGTCACCATAGTGAGACTGATTCCAGGAGTCCACGGTGAAAGAAAATCGGGTAGTGAAGTCAGCTACCTCTCCTGAATCCTTGTCCCAAAGTTGCAACAATTTCGGATAAGTGATCCTACCAGTACTATAATGCATTTCCTTGTCCCTCTGATTTCTTGTTAGCTGAATGTCAGGACTAGAAGGTGTAGCATCTCCATAGTAATTTAAGTCATGATTATTTGGGTTGAAACTAGTGAGATTAAAGGTTAGATCTGCCAAAGAGGGAAGTATTTGGAAAAGTGAAATTAGGATTATAATTGTGGGAGAACATAGATGATGGAAATTATTGTTCCTAGAGTTACAGACCAACATTTCTTCTGTAATAGAATGATGAACCTTACATTTGGCATCAAAGTCTCAAAGAGGTTTCAAAATTTCAGACACTGGCAATATGATATCATAATTTGGATGAAGAATAAAACAGACAACAAGACAAGGTGCTTTTACATATGGTTGGCCTGCAGATGTGATTTGCACATGATGCTGACTCAGTGACACCATCACCAGGCCAAAACTGTGATTTGTTGATACTTTACAAGATACAATTATTAATTTCTACTTGTTGAAATCATCGAAAAAGCAATTAATTACACTAGATGGCTCACCTGGAAGAAAGAATCATAATGGAGATGTAACATGATGACAACCTAAACATACAAAACTTTGACCTGTTAAATTCCATTTTTAGAAACAGGTTCTGTGCAAATGGACAAATAGTAAACATCGTGAACTTATGGTGCCTGAGGTCGTTCGTAGTATATCACAAGAAGAGTGGCTTTTCTATTTGTTTTGCCTAAAAGGTCTGTAAGTCACTGTAATGTGGTTCAACACATTACCAAAAAACTCCATCTTTTTGCAACACATGCTGCATCCGAGTGGTGATGATATGTCACTGTAAAACTTCTTTAAGTCTTGTAATCGTGAAAACATAATTGGATGATGTTAACTGTTTCCTGACAGCCTTTTTTTAGCACACCCCTAAAGTTGGAATAAGTGTTTAATGTTATTTGTTCACACTCGTTAAGCAGAGTGGACAGTTTTAAAGCACCATTCTCCATCCAATTGCTGTTTCTCAACAAGTAACAAAAGAAGAAAGACAACATCCCCGTTTCTGACATTTTTTAGGCCCTGGGCGAGATATAAAAAGGGGCCTTTGATAAGTACGATATTTTTTCAATACATTGTCTTTATAATCAGAAATAACATTGAATTTTCATATAAAACGTTTTTTCGAGTATTCATAGACGCAAAATCAATCAATACTTATTTTTAAATTAATATTATCTACTAGAACATTTTTATGTAGTATCAGTAATTTGTTTCATCATCAAAAACATCATATAATATACTTTTGGTACATAGAATGACATCATTTGGGATCACAAAGTTGATTCCTCTGATTTCCGAGTGACACTATGTAAATCAATGTAAATAGGTTGGTTTTCAATGTTATCTCATGTTAATGTTTTTTAACATCATTTTAAACTATTATATTATGTTTTCGAATTTGGAAAGATTAACACCATTTTAAACTTTTATATTATGTTTTCGAATTTGGGAAGGAAAGAAAAGAATGAGAAAGGAAAAGAAAAATAAAGTTTTTTATTTGTGTTTTTAACAAAGAAGAGAGAGGAAAGAAAAATAATGAAATAAAAATAATTTTTGATATAATTTTTTTCCTTTCTTTTTCTTTTCCTTTCCCTAAAAAAATCTCGAGAACAAAATATTTTTCTTTCCCCATTATTTTCCTCTCTTTTCTATGTAAAAGAAGACTCAAGAACATAAGATTAGGGTTAAAACAAACTTTACTGGAATCATCAATTATGTAAATTAAAAAACTCATGTTGGTAGTAGTTTGAGATCTTTTTCTTTCTTTTAGAGATAGAATTGCAGATTTCTACACTCAATATTAGATAATAAAAAACAACTATGAAAAAACTATAATTCTAAATATAAATATAAGTTGTACCGTCTTATATGGTTGGTAATTTTTTTCAAAAGATGGGGTTTTGTTAGCTAATAACAAGAAAATCTATCATATTCTAATACAAAAATATAATTAGCGAGAATGGAACAATCAAAAGAGTCGATGTGAGATAAATTATGTAGAATATATCAAAGTTTTGGAAGCAAGTAGTTTTAGACATCGGTTTTAGATTAAAAAAAAAACTTAGAGAAACATTAAATAATATTACATAATGAAAGACAGATTAACCTCTTTATGTGTTTTTTTCTCCAATATATTTAATTCATACGTGTTTGAGTCTTTAATAGTTAATGTAGTACAAAAATCTTTTCTTGTCATATTTGATATTAATTTTTTTATGTGTCTTCTATTTACTAATTTTTTGAACTACTATCATATATATTGAAAAATTTTGGGCCCCTAATTTTTATGGGCCCTGGGCGTATGCCCGGCCCGCCTTCCCCCAGGGACGGCCCTTTAGACAAGCGAATATATGGACATCTCTTAGATGGAGAATTTACGATGGTGTAAGGTACATCAAATTGAGCAAAGGAGCACCACCAACAATATCAAACTCCACATGAATGTCGTTTTCTGACTATTGAGCAAATGTCGAAAAAGAAACTGATTTTGGGCACCATATGTACCAATGCACACCAAAAAACCACCCATTGGTGATCCGAAGATGGATAATCAAATGCGACTGGAACTTCCTCCCGATTTGCTTCCATTTAGTTAGTCATCTCGAAAGAACAAACCTTGACATGTTTTGAACAAATAGACAAATAAAAGTCCAACCTTTATGCCACAAACAAGGCATAGTCTTCCAAAAGAACTCGCCAAGAACCAAAATCCGAGTTTTGATACAACTATCGAAACCGTAAAACTCTGATACCACTTGTTGGGATTTTTCTCATACCACACGGTCCCAAAAAATTGAATACAACAATGAGCTTTATTAATCAAGTAAACCGTGCCAAATTTTCTAAAACCTTTTGGTTTGTAAAATTACGAAGAGCATGGCCATGCATGATTATAACGTGCGGCCGTGTGCGGTGTGTGCGGTATGTGTAATTATAACGTGCAACCATGCCCAAAGTGTTTTTCTCGGATTTTGTTTTTTGTATCATTATCTTCAGCAAAAACCATCATCAACTGTGTTGGACTAATATCATTAGTTACGTTTCTTGAAGATGGTTCCATGTCTCGTAAGTTAAATCCATGAAAATTATGCTTACAAATTTTTTCTTTAAGATACATTTAGGAAGCGTTTGGTACGCATACATGATTGGACATGAAAGGACTGGAGAGGACAAGAAGGTAGGACTGGAAAGAATAAGAGTATGTCTGGTGTTTGGTACGACTAGGACGTACCGGCTAAGACAGAACTAGACAAACTACCCCCAAAAGTTATTTCATGATTTTAAATATTATATAATAGTTATAATTAACACAAATAAAATAAATAATTAAAGAACTTAATTTATAAATATTTGTACACAATTTTCATATAAATGAATACATACATGTATAATGGTAACAAATTTGAAAGAAAATTTTGTTATATAACTGATGGTAGTGGTGGTGGTGGAGGTGGTTTTGGTTATAGTGGAGGTAATGGTGGCCGACGATAGTAGTGGAAATGAGCGGTGGTGGTTGGTGGCCGACAGTGGTTATGGAGGTAGAGCAGTGGTGATTGTGGTTGGTGGACGGCGATGGTTATAGATGACATGAAAATGGTGTATTATGGTGGTGCTGGCGGTTGGCAACAGTGGAGGAGGTAGTTGTGGTTGGTGTAGTGAAGATAGTGGTGGTGGTGGTTATGGTGGGGGTGAGGTGGCAATGAATGGTGGTGGCCGATGGTAGTTGTGGAGGTTGTGGAGGAGGTTGTTGTAGTAGTGAAGAAGTTGAAGGTGACCAACGATGATAGTGGTGGTGGCAATGGACGGTGGTGGTCGGTGGCTTATGATGGTTGTAGAGGTGGTAATGGACAGTGGTGGTCGACAGCGGTTGTGGAGATCCTGGAGGAGGTTGTTGCAGTATAAGAGGATTTAGAGGTAGCCAACGATGGTAGTGTTGGTGATAATAGGTGGTGGTGGACGGTTGCCGATGGTGGTTGTAAATGTGGCAATGCACGGTAGTGAAGGAGGTTGTTGTAGTAGAGGAGGAGTTGGAGGTGGCGAATGGTAGGACTGTAAACGAACCGAACGTTCAGCGAACCGTTCGGCGGGAAGTTCGTTTATGTTCGTTTATTTAATAAATGAACGAATATGAACAATTTTTTTTGTTCGTTTAGTTAAACGAACGAACATGAACAAGAGTCTCGTTCGTTCATTTATGTTCGTGAACGTTCGTTCATTTATGTTCGTGAACGTTCGTTCATTTACCGTTCGTTTACGTTCGTTCATTTACCGTTCGTGAACGTTCGTTCATTTACCGTTCGTTTACGTTCGTTCATTTATGTTCATGAACGTTTGTTCATTTACCGTTCGTTTACGTTCGTTCACGTTCGTTCATTTATCGTTCGTTTACGTTCGTTTATGTTCGTTTATATTCGTTTATGTTCGTTTATATATTAAATTTAATATACAATCTTTTATTTAATTACTTAGAATTCAAATAATATTTATTTATGTTCGTTTAGCCCGTTCGTTTATGTTCGTTTAGCCCGTTCGTTTATGTTCGTTTAGCCCGTTCATTTATGTTCGTTTAGGCCATTCGTTTATGTTCGTTCGTTTAGCATGTTAACGAACGAACATAAACAAACACGAACACACATTATTTCTAAACGAACGAACACGAACACAAAGATTTTCGTTCGTTTACCGTTCGTGTTCGTTCGTTTGTTCGGTTAAGTTAAACGAACGAACATGAACAAGCCTCCGTTCGTGTTCGTTCGGTTCGTTTACAGCCCTAGCGAACGGCGGTAGCGGTGGTGGCAATGAACGATGGTGGTCAGTGGTCGACTATGGTAGAGGTGGCGATGGACTTGGTAGACGGTGGTTGTGGAGGCGATGGAAGATGTTGTTGTAGTGGAAGAGGAGATGGAGGTGGAGGTGGTCGCTGGTGGTGGTGGCGACCGAAACTTGCGGTAATAACCATTAAAACAAATACCGTATTAAGGTGATATATCAAACTAGGGTAGATTAGTAATATTTTAGTTTCTATCTCATTCTTGTCCTATTTTGTCCAACCTTTATTTTGGTGGAACAAGAAAAAAACCTCTTTTGTCCCATGTTGTCCCACCTTGTCCTGTGCTTGTCCCTGTCCCATGTCGCGTCAACCGTGGGACAGTGAGTTCTTGTTCTGTCCTATGTTGTACCAAACATGGGACAAAGCGTTTTGT